AAACGGTTTGTGCTACGTTCCTAACCTAAAAGTTGATGGTTCAAATCTACCCAGTGGTGTTGTGAAAAAACGGCTGACCACCCGATGGAGCGGTTTACTCTGTAACACATGAGGTCACCCTGGGGCGGAACCAACTTGGCTGCACTGGGTTGTTTTTGTTGTTGTGAAGTGCCATTGAGTCGGTTCTGACCCAAGCTACCCTGTATAGGGTTTCTAAGGAACAGCTGGTGAGCTTGAACCACCGACCTTGCAGTTCAAACGGCTTTGCAGTCTGGTGCATTAACCCACAGCGCCACACCAGGACTGCTACACTGGCTGCAATGTGACGTTGTAGGATAAGCTCTGGACTGCTAACCACAAGGTTGCTGGTTCAAATCTACCAGCTGCTCATTGGGAAACCCTCTACAGGTTCGCTGTGAGTCGCAACAGACTGGATGGCACTTAATAACAACATAATCATTGAAAGTAGACATAGAGGTAGAAACAACCCTTATGCCATCGTTGTATACACAAAATGGGATCTAGTCATATAAGGGGATAGCGTTCAGCCCAAAAGCAAGGATGTACTGATATATGTACTGATATAAGCTTGTTATGTGAAAGACACCAGTCACAAAATACCACATATTCTATGACTCCATGCATATGACATGCCCAGAATAGGAAATGCTTGTTGATGTTGTGAAGTGCCATTGAGTCGGTTCTGACCCACAGCGACCCTGTATAGGGTTTCTGAGTAACTGGTGAGCTTGAACCACCGACCTTGCAGTTCAAATGGCTTTGCAGTCTGGCACATTAACCCACAGCGCCACACCAGGACTCCATGGCAAAGCTACAGAGACAAAAAGTAGATGCTGGCAGTTAAATGGGGGGAAGGAATGACAGTTAAAGGTTAATTGGCTTCTGTGTAAGGTGATGAAAATGTTCTACAATGGACCGGTGATACTAAATTTTACTCTTCGAGTAGGTGGATCACATGATGTGTGAAGTACATCACAATAAGGTGGTTTTTAAATAAATAAATAAATGTAGGTTAAATGACCAGAAATGCTTTTCCAACTCCCCTATTCCATCTTCCTGAGGAGTACATATTGTTTCATTTCATTCCTGTTCTCTTAAGAGTATGTGACCTCTGGCATTTCCTTTGGGATCCAAAATCTAATTACCGTAAATGTTAGGAAATGTTGCTTCATAATTTTAAGCCATTACTTTTACGTGTTCACCTTTGAACCACATTAAGTCATTTATTTTCACAGTGACATTTTCTATGTCAATCGATCGATATTACAAGGTTCCAAGCCATTCATTTACAAATCAAAGGGGCAGCCAACGTGATTCCCCTCATTTTGCCATTCCCCCTCAGTGTAACTCCGGCTAACTTAGGGAGAAGACTGTCATAAATCGAAAACCTATCAAATTAGGGCAGGTATGCAGGTGTGCAATAGGTGCGTGGTGGACTGAAGTAATTCCGGTGTCCACTCATATCTGTCAAAGTCTGAACTCGTCTGTCACTATGGTGACCTTCATCTTAGAGGTAGCACTGGAGGCTGGAACAGCCAGAGGCCCCAGAAACAGAAACAAGTCTCCAAACTCGAAAATGTAGGTCCTTGGAAAATACAGTTCAACATATAAAGTTTTGTTCTGAATCTGAATGCATACTTGAATGTTGTTGTTAGATGCCATCAAGTCTATACCAACTCATAGTGACCCTGTACACAACAGAACGAAACACTGCCTGTTTCTTTTTGTATCCTCATATGTAAAGTCACATTGTAATTGTGATTTCTCCAATACTCGCAGAGGTTCCGCCGGAGAAAGATGAGGGGTTCTGCTCTCGTAAAGATGTACAGCCTCAGAAACCCTGTGCAGGGTCACTATGAGTCAGAACCGACTCCACGGCACATAACAACAACAACAACAATACTCGTATGAGAATACGTACTAGTGTCAGACTTTCTGGGTCTGTGTGTTTGGGATACGCTTATACATAGAACAGTTAAGTAGTCTGTGTAACATATACATCAGTGTCGTGTGACAAACTGCTCTCAAGGAACCAATATGTTGTTGTTGATGTTGTTAAGTGCCATCGAGTCAGTTCAGACCCAAAGCAATCCTGCATAGGGTTTCCGAGGAGCAGCTGGTGAGTCGGAACCACCGACCTTACAGTTCAAACAGCTTTGCAGTCTGGCACATTAACGCACAGCGTCACACCAGGACGGTGTGATACAAAAAACAAAAACAAAAAAATACAAAACAGTGAGTTTGAAACTTAACCAATTTTGATTTTTGTCACGGAGCTTGCTCGTTTATGAGAACAGGGGTAGGCAAGTTTGATGCTTTTTAAAGTGTGTCCACCCCAAACTGACCAGAGAGAGCAGTGCAGGGACTTGATTCTGACTTGACTTTCATTCATGACCATCATCAAAGAGAAAAGCACCACTTCACAAGACTTTTGTAAAGCAGAGGGATCTTCTATTAAAATAAAATAATAAGGGTTTCAAAATCGCTTGACTAGAGAGTCATAAAAGGTCATTTTCTCTTTCTAATCACAGAGAAGAAGACTCTTGGGTCCCAGCCTAGTATCCTCACCCATCAAACGGTTGGTTTTCATATAATGGAGCTGTGATTTGTGCATCTCCTTTCAAGTCAGTACATACACACAGAAAGGTGTTCATTATTCAAACCAGGGTGAGGAACTGTGGCCCATCGGCCACATAAGGCCTGAGACAGCATTTGGTCTGGCCCGGCCAAGACAGCCACAGCTCACACCATCATATTGTTGTCGTTGCTTAGTGCTGTTGAGTTGGTTCTGACCTATAGCGATCCTGCATATGGTTTCTGAGGAGCTATCACATTAGGGGTGAGCTCATTCATTTTTTGACCAAGTATTTATTGTTGTTAAGTGCCATCGAGTCAGTTCTGACCCATAGCAACCCTATATAGGGTTTCCGAGGAGCATCTGGCAAGCTTGAACCTTAGACCTCGCAAATGAAACTGACTTTGCAGGCTACTGCATTAACCCAGACTCCTTTGACCAAGTACAGCAGGCTAATTTTACGTCGATAATTTTGTATGATGCTCTAAGTTTTGGTAGAAAATAGCTTCCCTACTTCTGATTTAGGAGTACTGGTTGGAACTGACTCAATGGCACATAACAACAACAACAACAACAACAACCCCTAATTTAAGGAGTTCTGGTAACACAGTGGTTATGAGTCAGGCTGCTAACCTCAAAGTCAGCAGTTTGAAACTACCAGTGGTTCTATGGGAGAAAGATGAGGCTTTCTGCTCCCATAAAGATGATGCACAGCCTTGGAAACTCTATGCAGGGTTGCTGTAAGTCGGAACTGACTCCACAGTATACCATGACCAACAACAACAACCCTGATTTAAAACAAAGCAAAACAAAACAGAGTTGTCACCAAGCCAGTCTGACTTACAGCAGGCCCGTGTGTGTCCGACAGAGGTGAGCTTGTTTAGCCATGCAAAGGGGCTCACTGAGCCTCCCTCACCACGGTGGCTCGTGTTAGACCTAGCAGGTGTAGCACTAAGTGTAGCCACAAGCTAACACCAGCGGCTCCTCGGAAACCCTACACAGGGTTGCTGTGGGTCAGAATCGACTCAACAGCATTTAAAAACAACAAGGGTGGCAAACGGACCCATCCCCAAGATAGAGTTTCATGGTTTTGTAATCAGCATTAGATGTGTTAATAATCACTCACAAAATCATGTGTTTGTGGATACAAAGAACTTCTGAAAGAATGAACAAACAGGTTTCTATTGTAATGGTAACTTCCATGGTTTTTCCTGCCTCTGGGAATGTCAAACCAGCGCAGACCGCTTGGCGGACTGTATCAACTCTGGCCTCATGAAGAACCTACAGTGAATAACGCAGAGACCTTTAGAGACAAGGTTTGCTGGCTCTTAATTAAAGCGATGATTAAATACTGGTGGATAATCAGTGACTACGAACCCCAATGCCAGTGGTTCAAACCCATCAGCCTCTCCAACTGAGAAAAATGAGACTTCCTGATCCTATTAAGCTGTACAGCTTCGGAAACGTTCCAGAGGGTCACTAAGTGTCGCACTTGACAGCACTTAACAATGACGTCACCCCCCACAAAAATGTTTACTTCTACTGGGCAAAAAAAATCACAACACCTCACAATCCTCTTAGTTATATTTTGAATAGAAATCCTGGAACTATTTAATCCCATGTTTTCTGAATTGAACCTTCTCTGAAACAAATCATTACTCTGCGTGTGTTCAGCTTATCGACTCTCCACTACATGGGTGTGTGGTCATTTAACTGGAAAGGGAAGAGAGACCTTTCAGAAACCTCAGGAATATATGTTTAACAATTTGCAGTTGGTTCCAATGCACATAAACTGTGAACATAAAGTTATGAGGAAATGTGTACCGAGCCGGGCAGCATAATTCGGTGCAGGGGAAGCAGTAGCTTCATAATTTAACCAAGTCCGTTCATGAACAGTCTGTTCACTCAGGTGCTGTACAATTCTACCAGGAAAAAAAGAATCAACATTTTGGAAGTTTATAACGCATCACCAACAACCTTTAGAAACGAAATAAGAACGCTGATTTGATCAACGAAAGAGACAAAGAATACTTTCATGTTGGATTTTGTTAAAGCTCACAGA